TCATTAATTTCATTTCATGATTTCGATTCAAAATAAAATTCACTACACTTTCTTAATTAATTTTTCACTTTTCATCCAAGAATAAAGAAAAACATCATTTTCTTTGTCAGTTTCGTCATTAGAAAAGCCATTTTTTTCCACGTTTTTGATATAAAATTCATGGAACTCATCAAAGTTTTTTAATATTTTCACTCCATGGGTATCATGTTTTTCACATTTATCAGAAGAGCAGACTACTTATCTATTACAAATTTTTGTAAGTCAAAAGCCGAACAATGAAGTATTTCTTAATCTAAATTTCTTAATCAATTCATTCTGTAAAAATTAATTTTTTTAGAATCTACATCATCTATGACCATTGATCTATCGCCACCAGCATCTTCACTTCGTCGTATACCGTATCCAAGTGTAAGAAAACGAAATCAAATTCATCACCGGTCAGTTCTTCATCAACAAGCACATCGTCGACACAAAATTTCAAATGATAATGATATAGAATCATCAAAATCTAATGATGATAATACAATAAAACGTACAACTGATTCACCTATTGACGATTCATTAGTATTTAGTAGTGGAAATGAAAGTGATTATGATAATAATCAATGTACGACTGTTAAAATACCGGTGAACGATCATCTGAATTCTGATGAATTAACATGTACAGATAATGAAACTCATATAGAAAATTCTAATGTTAACAACAATCAACGGTCAGATATAATTAGAATAACATCAAAGGATACACCTCACAGAGCTAATAAAATAATGACAATTAATGCTACAGCAACATTAGAGGATAGTGAACCGACAAGTTTTCAAGCATATCGCAAAGATTCACTAATAACTCGACGATTACTTGATATTCGAAGTCATTTATTATTGAATACAACACTTGATGCAACGTAAGTCTTTTTCAATCGAAATGATTATTTCTAATGTTTTCCTTTCTCTTTAGAGAAGTATAGCAATTGAATGATGTATACAATTCTTTTCCTTTTTCTTTTGTCTCTCTTTCTCTCTATTTTTTTTCATTGTAAAAACTTTTTTGCTTGTGTGTGACAAACAAATAAAACAGAACAGATTCTTTTGTATTAAAATTTTTCGATAATATTTAAGTATCAACATGCAAAATTCCAATACGCAAAATTAATTCATGTCAAATTATGTGCTTGAATAAGAACATAGAATAATTTAGTACCTCACACAACACTTTTCACTTTGTATTTATGAATTGTCAGCTGTCAAACGTTGATTTTTTAATGATGTTAACTTGCATTGAATAGAGATTAGTCTATAAATGAATTTATACTTAAATACTAATAACTAATCAATAAAGATTATTGAGTTTTGTTTTTCATGCTATAAAAAGGCAGAAATGAACTATCATGAAAACAAAATGTCGTCTACTGCTATACTAATTGATGAAGGCGTTAAAAACAGAAATTAAATTTGCTAACTACATTTATTGTTCTTTTCCTACAAGAATAAATTGATGGGTTAAGGCGTTTTTATATGGATATAATTCGGCGTATCGTGAATATAGCAATCTTCTCACAAATGTCTTTTTACAATTTTGAATTATTTTCCAAAATATCTGATTTTATCATGATATACCTGCTGTTCAGAAATTGGAAAACAAATGAAATTTAGTATTTTAGGTACATAGATTGGAAGTGTATGTGTCACTGTATGTAATCCTTCCCGATGATGTTACACATGACAAAGTTTCAAGTCTTCTATATACAAAATTCAGTGTTTGAAACTTTCAAAATGCAATTGTATATATGTTAGTTTTTGTAACTACCTGGATGAAATTGAGTGTAAAAGTGTTTCTAGTGCTTCATAATAGCATGTTTTGTAGTTTCTTCACAGTTACTTCAAGTATGGCTGATTTTTTATTTATTTTTTTTGATGATGTGTGCAACTACTTATTTCTATCTTGCATTATTTTTTCACCAAGGATATGTTGAAATGTTGATAAGGGAAATAAAGTCATATATTTTATTCTACTTTTTATATGTTTGTGTTACTAAACACAATGACGATAGCCAGATGTAATTCAATTTCATCAATCTTTCTCTTTATGATTCATCTATATGAAAATAATGTTAAAATAATTAGAGTTTTTTCTTCATCAACAAGTGAATTATTGATTTAAAAAATAAATAAGAATGATTATTTGAATTCTACTAAACTTATCGATTGAATTGTTTTTCTATTCAAACTGAAATACAACGAATAAAGATTTCTAATTAAGTAAACTTATAATTTTATTTTCATAGAATATTATTTACTTAATAGTTGTCTAGTTATGAAGTTAATATACATTTATAAAATTATCTTTTTTTACAGTTATGATAAATATAATGAAATTTTCTTTTCTTTTCTTTAAAATACTCTGGAGAAAATAGCGTTTTCTTTCCTCATGATATAGCAAAATGAATAGTTCTTTGTTTATTATAAATAGTCATGTATATAAAGAAATGTTGATTTCATTCATAAGAGTCTCTCGATTAAGTGTTTATCGATGAGTATAATAAAACAAAGTTTTATTCTTTGTTGCATTGTTCTATGCTATATAATATCTCGAAGTAAGTATTAATTTCAAAATGTTATATTCAACATTTTTTTTTACTTGAAAATAAATTCATTAAGGTAATGCACTTCAATGTAAAACATGTGAACAAACAGATTCATCCTGTTTATTTGAACAAGATACTAAAATACGTCATTGTGAGAATGAGGATGATGTTTGTTATTCATGGTATTACCGCGATGGTAAAGAGTTTTTATTATTTCCTTAAGATTTAAACCATTTATTTTCGATCAATAGGAGATGAAATGGGAGTACGACGCGACTGTATATCGATTAATTCTTCTGAATATCATTTAATCAAGGACATAATTGGTACTAAAGACAGTAGTTGTCTTAAACGTATACATGGACTTGATTGTTTTACATTTTGTTCGACCGATTTGTGCAATTAAACAGATATTCATATGAATAGATACCTATATATATTCTATACTACATTATTTTTCCTGTCATACTGAATAAATACACTATTGATTAAAGAGACATTTCGTGTTTTTTTTTTTGTTAGGCAATCAGTTTGAAAAGTGAAAGGAAAGAAGAATAATGGTGTGCACATGTGCGTTGTTACTATCAGTACGACATACACCTATACGTCGTGCCTCAACTTTAGCTGAAGTTATAAAAAAACGTCTAAATCTTGAGCTTGATTCTATTCGACAAGCAGGTACTTGGAAATCCGAACGAATTATATCAACAAGTCAAAGTTCACATATCAAAATAGAAAATTCTAAACATGATCTTTTAAATTTTTGTGCTAATAATTATTTGGGTTTGGTTAATAATTCTGAAATTATTAATGCAGCGAAAAAAGCACTTGATGATTATGGTGCTGGTCTTAGTTCAGTACGATTTATCTGTGGTACACAAACAAAACATAAACAACGTTAGTATACTTTATTATTTAATAAATGATGCATAAAGAAAAAGAAATATATATTTATATACTTAGTTGAACAACGTATTGCAAAATTTCATCAAAGAGAAGATACTATACTTTATATATCTTGCTTTGATGCTAATGCTGAAATATTTGAAACATTACTCAAAGAACAAGATTACATCATTAGTGTAAGTAATTGATACATTGTTATTATCGATATTAAAAAATTTGTTATATGAATCTTAATCCTTGTGGAACAGAAGATGTTGAATATAAAGATATTGCTTATGTTATAACAAGTGTGGAAATAGATCGAAGGATGAGCTTTTACATCATCAAAGTCAATCTTATAGAATATGAGAAACGTTTCAAAAAAAAAATATATCTATCTCATTTAGGATGAATTAAATCATGCATCAATTATTGATGGTATTCGTTTATGTAAAGCTAAACGTTTACGTTATAAACACAAAGACATGTTCGATCTTGAATTAAAATTAAAAGAAAGTTTTAATGAAAATAATGATAATATTATTTGATTAATTCCTACTGATGGTGTTTTTTCAATGGATGGAACAATCGCTCCATTATCAGATATAAAACATTTAGCAGATAAATATAAAGCATTAATTTTCGTTGATGATTGTCATGGAACTGGGTAAAAAAAATTTGATTTGTTTATGTTTAGTTTTTTGATTGAAATAAACTTTTATTTTGAAGATTTCTTGGACGAACAGGTCGAGGAACAGAAGAACATTTTAATATGATTGGAACAATTGATATTATTAATTCAACATTAGGTAAAGCACTTGGTGGAGCTGCTGGTGGATATACAACTGGTTCAAAAGCTCTTATTAATTTATTACGACAACGTTCACGAACATTTTTATTTCCTAATACACTTCCTCCGTTCGTTAAATTTCGAAATTTTATATTCCAAAATGCTCTTTTTAAAATTTTTTTAGTCCAATTGTAGCTAGTGGTATGAAAGCAATTGATTTAATTGAAAATAATCCAAATTTACCAGAACGTGTACTTGAAAATGCAACAACTTGGTTTTATAGTATTAATTTCATAAATTTCTAGTTTTGTTTCGTAAATGTATGTTTAAATTTAGCTCTTAGGTGATAATCATCCAATATGTCCAGTTATGTTAGGTGATGCACGATTAGCAAGTCAATTTGCTGATGAAATGTTAAAACGGGGAATTTATGTCATTGGTTTTAGTTATCTAGTTGTATGTTTTATAATAAAAATTTTCATTTTATTGTAATATGAAAATCTTTCATTTTATACAGGTACCAAAAGATCGCGCACGTATTCGAGTACAAGTATCAGCAGCTCATTCCAAAGCTGATCTTAAACGATTTATTGAAGCTTTTGCTGAAGTTGGAAGACAATTTCATGTGACAAAATGATCATTTTTAAAAATAATATTCCAAAACAAAATATTCGATGCCATGAATTTAGATGATGTCTTTTTTTTTCGTGAATTAGGCTTGACAATAAAGCGTTATTACAATCAGAACTAATTTGTGTAAAAAAAGAATTTTACTGTCGCCGACAAAATTTCGAGAATTTTTCGACACAGAAGACTTGTTAAAAAATGAATAACTACGACTTTATAAGAACGTACGATAACAACTGAATCAATTGCTTTCAAAGATAAAACTTCCTTCTTTGAAAAAAGTGAATATTTGTTAAAAAACTCAAAATTGAGATGAATACAGAAGAAGATACTTCGTTTTCAATTACTTATTTTGTTTAGAAAAAATGGTTAATAGTTTTTGTTTTTTTGATCGTACGTTCCCGAACTCTTGAAGGAGCTTCATTGTAGCTAATTGCTTTTATTTTAACAAAGCATGTGAAAATGTGGAGCTCGTTTTTTTTCTTGAATTAAGTCCTTTTATGATTGCATAGAGAAGCATCTCTATAAATAGATGACTATTTCTGCCAGAGTCTTGCAAGGTCTTATACTTATTACACATTTTCTTTGCATAAAAAATAAAAATTAAAAAAGAAGGACTCTACCAGGCACTACATACTGACATCCCATGTAAAAAAAAAATAATCAAAAAATCGATTTTAATCATACACCTTTAATCAATAGTTTAAGCAGTAATAATCAAAACAAAATCAGATGATAATCGATTATTTCAAATATGATGATTATAATCGATTTGATAAATTTAGAAAATGGTTTATAATCAACATATTTGAAATAATCGATTATCATCTGATTTTGTTTTGATTATTACTGCTTAAACTATTGATTAAAGGTGTATGATTAAAATCGATTTTTAATCGATTTTTTGATTATTAAAATTGATTTTTTTACATATTTTTTTTACATGGGATGCTCTCTGGAATAGAAAAACACAATTAAATCTATAGAATGAAAGCCTACAGAGGATTTTAGGTTGTCAAATGAGTTTTTTTTGACGTTTGATTATTGAGTACCTCTCAAAAACGACATGACATAACTGAAGAAGAACAGATTTTAGAACTAGTTTTGCAATATCAGTTTTTAAAGAGAAAAGAAATTGATAATAACGTTTTATCTATAGTGGATTGTTTTTCATTTCAAAGATCATGAACATGAAAAAGAGTGTTTAACTTCGTTTATGATGTCATACGTCTTTTGTGTCCAGTTAAATATTTTGAGTAAAATTACAATGAATGAAATACATTCTTATAAAATTTAGACAAACATATCGAAATATAAGATAGAAAATTATCATCGTTAAATAGAACGAATTGTTCAGATGAATTTTATAAAGTACTGTTATATAGAATATATTTTAAAATTGAGACAAAAAAGAAGAAATCATTGTATAAGACAAAGAGCAAATATTGAAATCAATTGAAAAGAATTGGACTTGATTAAAAGCAAAATTCCGTGACTTATTTTTAAAAACTTTCGATTAATTGATATGTTGATAAGAATTTAATTAAATTGTTTTCCTCGGTAATCATTGAGTATCATGTCTTTTAATTAATTTTGAATGAAATTTCTAATTATCGACGGTTAGATAATTATTTATATAAGATGTCTAATTGATTCAGAAGGATTGTATTAGAAAATAATAGAATTATTGATGATTCTGTCTTGAAACTATCGTCATCCGATTCGACTGAACTTCTTCATTTATTTATTTTTGTTTCCTGAGATCATCCATAAATTTTTGTTTTTATTTTTCTATGTTAGTTCCTATAAATGAGATATGTTCAATAAAGAATGTTCTCGAATGATCATAACTTTATAGATATTATTGTCTCTTTGTTTTCTTCCTATGAGTTTTTTAAGTCATCTATTCTTTTAATAATCAAACGATAAATTTATTATGAAAAAATATATCAATTTTATTTCTCTTCCTTTATATCTCTTTTATATTTTTGATAAATTTATAGTATGTTACAATAGAAGTTAAGCCAAGCTTAAAGAAAGTAATGGAGAGTATTTTTGTTGGGTAAACTTTTTTCAAATATTTATACATATATATATATATTTCTATTTATAAAGAAAAACTGTTCTTGAATAGATATTTCTGATAAAGTATAGAAATATAACTATAAAACTAAAAGTATAATAATCTTAGGATAAGATAATGTAGTGTGATTCATTTATGTTTGCACGTAGGTGAAGTTAGCACCGTATTCGAGTAAAACTATCCCATATTCGTCCAGAAACATGTTCCAATGGTGTTCCAAGTACAACTTGACGAGCTCTATCTAATGGTATACTCAGATTGACCATAGCCCAAACCAGAAGTCCAAACAGGTCACCTTTTTCAAGGCCTGGCCTGCCTGTGACAGGCTTACACACCTCCTAGCCTACCTGTACCTGTTCTCTGATTTCCTCGGCCTGGTCTGCCTGCCTCTCTAGGCCTGTGTATTTTTTTCATCTCAATATCATGATAAAAATACCATAGAAAGAAATAATAATTTTCGTAAAAAATTGTATTAGTCACTGAATTCAATCTACATCACTACATTGAAAAGTTTCTAATTGAAAAGACCATGAGAATTGTCAGCTTTTCAATTAAACGAAGGTATCATGCTTCTTTATTATTGTGAGCATGTGAAACTAATGGTAGAACAAAGACTGTTCATTTCCAAAAGTACTTCTAGTTAGCCGAAGTATAAAAAAGCATAGTTTTCAGTTCACTTACAAAATGTTTTCTCTAAATAACGATCGATTTCTAGTCAAAATCGCTCGGCAAAGATTGGCATCGTTCTGAATAAGCAAGTAACTTCATTAAAGAGACAGCTATAATGCCTACCTGTAAAAAATGAGGACACATTTTCATGTAAAAAAAAAAATTCATGTAAAAGTTAGAAAAGATCCATTTTAAATGACTAAAATCATTATTCTCTTTTAGTGGTTTTCAATTGGTAGCGAATCGATTACAATAAAAAAAAATCAAAGTCAATTCATTATCGATTCCTAATTGATTAAAAGGGTGCGGGTGTCGGTGTGGGTATGAGTGGGGTGTGAGGTATGAATTTCGTTACGGTTGAACTGAATATCCACACTCACATCCACACCCACACCCAATTCGGTACATAAATCTGCGATCAATGTAATCCTAATCACATCGATTTTAGGTTCTAGGCCGCATTCTTGTCTTGTCAATAATAAAAATACCGTACCTTGTAGTATAAATGACCCTTGTCTAGAAGAATCATTATCTAATAAAACTCAGACTAGCATTGACACTCATCAAGTTGTGCCGGTCTTTCCTTCGGCAACTTTCTCATCCTGCAAGCATTTCTCTTCAACAGTCATCATTGAACTTCGTCATCGACTCACTATCAAAAGATGACGATGCAAAGTTGAATGCGATTCACTCTGTCCACCCTGCAGCTCGTCCATGACATATAATATTCCGCTCTTCACCGTATCAACTTCCACATGGTCATGTTCGTCGACGACTCATACCGAAAACAACAGCGGCTATTTCACGTAATAATCTCATTACAATCTCACTAGAGATTCCCGGAGCGCTACGAGACAAAAGTGATGCGTCTGGTATTCCAAGACAAATGACATAAGTAGGTTGCTATTGGTTTTGGATGAACAATGTTTTCATGGGCTTTTTTACTTTATCGAGAGCTGATTGTAGAAAGAAGCAGAAAATGATAAAAGCGAAAAATTGCTGATCTCAATCAAACAATTGAAAAACTCGTGTGAGTGTGGCCCATCCAATCCTACACCTATTCACATCCATCCTATATCCATACTCTAAATTCTTTTTCATATATATGTGCTTGACATTTCGTTCTTTTAGACAAAAAGTGAACTAGTTGCCACACAATTGCATGGCAAGCTTATATCAAAAACAAAATTCGTGTAGAACTTTTACTCCATGTATTAATATTTATCAATCACAAAGCATGACAACATTCTTAGCACATTGTTATGTATTATCATAGTCTTACAGAAATTCAATAAATTCGAATGATTGGTTATTTTACAAGTTGTAGTTTATATTTTTTTGACTGCCCTTTCATATAGACATTATACAATCAGATGGATGTCAGACATATTTTCACTAATGCTTTTTGTTTCTGTTTCTTTTTACTGGAATTTGCTTTTTTGTTTTGGCTTATTTATTAAATATTTTTTCATGTTAAATACATATCGACAAGGACTTCTATTAATTATTACGAATAAAAGAAAAGAAAACTATTGCGTTTTCATACGAATAATCAAACTCATCTAAATAAAATTGAAGCAAATGATTTACAAAATTAGAGAGAACATATAAATTCATATAAAAAATGAAAAAACCTTTATATTTATGCATTCTCAATTGTATTTTAATTATAGTGGTTTCGTTTAAACATATATATAAACGTCAATAAATACATAATTATAAACTTTGTAGCATTATCATGCATCTTAAAGCTATAGATAATCATACTTTTTGTATGGTTGAATACTTATTATCATCTATTGCTAAATTTTCTTCATAGGCTTTATCTAAGGTATGAGTCTATGCATGGGTCTAAGCGTAGGCCTAAGCATGGGTGTCAGTCATTCTTCATCTACGTCCAGATTCATACAACCTCACCCACCCACCCACATCTACAACCCTGTTTGAATGCAGAAAACAATGATGTTCACTGCTATCAGACGGGCATTGGTCGCCAAAGCATGATTTATTTCGTCAATAGGTACAATAGAATGACAATAATAAGATCAGCTAAGAGTTCATCAAGTGATCACTAGCCATCAAGATTGTTGCAGCAGCAAATGACAACCCAAGCATGGATAACACCAGGAACCTTGTAAAATAGAATGAATAAACATGATCATAATCTGCACTGGCAAGATAATAAAATACTCACAATGCCAAGTATTGTAAGTAGAATATTGAGGAGTACAGTACCACTACATACTTTGTCTCGTGCA